GAACTATGCAAAAATGTATAGTTGCTTTCAATAAAACGACTTACATTGTCTGCCGCTATGGCTACAAACACATTTCAAAAAGGAAATTTTGATAACACCATGCTTTTTAAATTAAATAGTTTCTACTCTTCCGCGAGGGCGGTTAACGCACACCGCCATTGAAGATAACGGTTATAATTTAAGTGAAGAAGAAAAGAATAAGTGAAGCTGTGGTAGTCTATTGCGATCTTTACCCTTTGGAGACAAGTTTGATGCAGCAGCTCTATTATTTCACTTATCGAAAAAAAAAAAAAAAAAGAAAAGAAAAGAAAGAAAACCGATAACTTTAAGCGATGGCTTTGAAATCAAAGTCTTCCAAAGTTCTAACGATGTATGAAAGACTTCTTCGATTTTGGATGATCTCGCAAAGCATGCAGTTCTCTTTTTCTTTTCAAACCTAGATGGCACAGAGTTCACTTAAGACGTGCGGAGTTTCTCAGTTTTCATTCGTATTTTAAGAATGCAGACACCTTTTAACTCATTTTACGTCTTTCTTTGTTTAAGTTAATTACTTAGATGTGTTAACTTGTGTCCACGAAATAATTTATAACCTAATAATGATACAAAATTATTAGAAAACTGAGTAAAATACAAGTAGAAACCCGTGTATAGGTTTGATTTGTGCTAGGCAAATAATTTATCTAAGCTGATACTTACTTTATTATGGTACTAATGTCTGCGCGTGCGTTGTGAGGATCAAAAACGTGTTATTTCTTATCATCATTCTGCTCCACAGGGTGTGTGCGATTCGTTCCATCATTACCGAGTCCTTCAATTTCTTCATTCTTATGGCTGAAGGGAAATTTAAGAAAGTAAATACATTTCCTGTTTTCTCAAAGTAACAATCGAGATACTCATCTTGAGAAATTACGACATTTCTAGATAAATTCTTCACCGTTTCACGACTAAAAAAAGAATTGTTATATATATCCTCAAGAAACAAACAGAAACAAGAAATTTATCATTGGTAATGTTTTTTTTTTTTCTTTTGACTATCGTAACTGCACCTACGGTAACAAGACGGCAAATGCTGGCAATAGTCTCATTTTAAGACGTTCTGAATTTCTGAAAAAAAAAAAATAAAAACTCCACAGAAAAGATGCTGCATCTTCAAAGGTATGCTAGTTTTTTTTTTAACACTAATCAACACTCTAGGAATGAAAACACTACACTTAAATAATTGAGAGAACACTAGTTCTTCCCCTTAAAAAATAAAAAAAACGAAAAAAGTTTCGGAGCGAATTAGATCTGAAAATTTTCAGCCCATGAAGAAAGTTAAATCTTAAAGCGATTAGTCTTGAGTTTTATGTTCCTTGCCTAGACTTAGCATTTTATCATTTTCTGCCGTAAAATTAGTTGTTAAAATTTACATGATATCACTAAATCTCTAATTAACAGAGAAAGCATTTTTTTTAAAACGATAGATTCAAGACATGATCTTTACATCACAATAATTTGAATATATCAACAAAGTTGAAATGGTAAAATGGCCACCGTTACGATTATAAAAGCTGACGTTTCGAGCGTTAGCCCTTCGTCGGATCTTTACATTACAGTTTTTCGAACTTTTTGTTCATCTATAATGATGAAATTTATCTTCATCACATCTCGAATTTTTTGTGTGGGATGCAGCACGATAGACGTGAACGTGACATAACTGATCGCTACCGGTGACAGGAAGCCTTAAATTCTGAAATTTGGTCATAGAATGAAACAAGTTTAAATGGCATTTCTTTTTATTGTTCTACAACTTTCCACGACTTTTTGTTAGGTGCAAAGATTTGGAACACTTTTCGTTCTTAATGTTGCGTCAGAGAGACGCCAGACCAGTTCTTAATCTAACCTAAGGTTATGCGAAAAAAAAAAACAAAACGAAACAAAACAGTCAACATTATTCAAGTAAACTCGCAGCATTTAGATGAGGAACAG